CACGATATCACAATGTTACCATAATAGTACTAATAGAATTAAGGATGTAAACTTCTAACAGAATTAAGAAATATGTAACTATAAGAAGAGGCATATTAGTTTACTAATTAAGGAAGTATATTTATGCACGGGTGCAACGCTACCATAATATTACTAATAAAATCATGCTCTGACCATTTACCATTATCATCACTATGCTAGACTTTACTAATTAAATGTGATATTACATTTTTTTTCCATAAATTTTTTTATGTAGTCATTTAGAATAACATACTTAAAATATTCTTGTTTTTATACGAAAGTATAAACATTAAAAAAAATATAAAAAATAATATAAGATAGCGAATCATATAGCAACACTTGTCAGGCTTACATTGAGACGCTTCTCTTTTAGTATAGTATAGATAGATAGATAGATTATAGCTTAGTTTCTCTTTTGTAATTGGTGTATACATCTCGTGTTTGTTAACGAGACTGGCTAGTAATTAAATTCTTTCCGTCACTTTATTTTATTTTTGTTTTTTAAAAAATACGTAAAACATTAAGACAATAAAAAAAATCATTGTGTTGAAGGTCAGTTAGGTTGGTTGCACCTAGAGCTGTCAATTCGGGTAAACGGGTCGGGTCAACTCGGGTCGGGTCAATTCGGGTTAATAACGTAACCTATGTGAGTCGGGTTTGGGTTGGGTCATACTTGGGTCGGGCCACGTCGGGTCATACATCTTAATGGGTTTGGATCGGGTTAGTAACAGGTCGGGTTACATTTGAGTCGGGTTATATTTGAGTCAGATGAACAATAAGTCAGGTTTAATTCGGGTTTTTACGGGTTAAAAGGATTAGGGAAATTCTCGGGTTCAAGTCAGGTTTGGTTCAAGTCAATAATTTGCGGGTTAGAATCGGGTCGGGTCATTCTCGGGTTTGAGTTGAGTTCGGTTCAAGTCAATAATTTGCGGATTATAATTAGGTCGGGTCATTTTCAAGTCGGGTCATTCTCGGGTTCAAGTCTGGTTTGGTTGAAGTCAATAATTTGCGGGTTATAATCAGGTTGGGTCATTTAATTTCTAAGTCGGGTCATTCTCGGGTTCAAGTCGGGTTATGTTCAAGTCAATAATTTGCGGGTTATAATCAGGTTGGGTTATTTAATTTCCAAGTCGGTTCATTCTCGGGTTCAAGTCGGGTTATGTTCAAGTCAATAATTTGCAGGTTATAATCAGGTCTGGTCATTTCCAAGTCGTGTCATATTTGTGTTCAAGAAATAGATAATTATTATTTTTATCAAGCTAATTATTTCCTTTGACTATAATATATATGGCAACATACTAGGGAACTATAGTTTATAATTTAGGAAGATAATTATCTCCTTTAACCATACAACACTATATTTAACTTTTAAATTTGGGGATGATATTCCTTTCTTTTGCTGGTCTGGACCGACTTGGTCTCCCTAAACAAATTGCTTTGATCAGTAATAATAGGGTGGTCTAAATTTCATTTAAGGTGATTTGAAATCGGGTCAGGAATAATTTGGGTTGAATTTAGGTCGGGTCAATAATAGGTCGTGTTGATTACAAGTCGGGTAAGTAACAAATCAGGTTGAATTTTTAGGTCGGGTTAGTAATAGGTGGGTAAAATTCGGGTCGGGTCAATAACAAGCCGGGTTGATTTCGGGTCGGGTTTGGAACGGGTAAGGTTGATTTCAGGTCGGGTTAGTAACAAGTCGGGTTAAATTCGGGTTTTGACGGGTTAAAACGGGTTTGGGTCAATTTCAGTTCAAGTCGGATTCGGTTCAGGTCAATAATTTACGGGTTTCATTCAGGTCGGGTCATCTCCAGGTTGGTTCATGTTCAGGTTCGGGTCTCACATACTCGGATCAACTCGGGTTTAGGGTTGGTTTCAGGTCGGGTTTGGGTTAACATTTTTTCGGGTTAAGATGGGTTGGTTAATAGTTGGGTTATGGTCGGTATTTCGGGTCGGGTCAACCTTTGATAGCTCTAGTTGCACCCCCAGTCAATAGTTGATGGTGTTCATGAAGTAGTCCAAGTTCGGGGTGGTGGGTATACCTAAACTATATTTCAAGGTATCGAGACCAATTTTGTCTGATTAAAATGGAAAAATTGATTATAATAATTCCACATTCGGTTGGTTGGTGGATAATAATCCCACACATTGATTATTATTTAATAATCAACATTTTTTATTGGTTCCTTATGACCCATAACTTAAAAAATGTTTTTTATTTTTTTTTTATTTTTTTTTTGAAAGGTGAAAAAGATAATGCCTTATTAGTAACTAGGTTACAATCCCATGTACTATTTGTTGAAGATTTTTAACAACAATATTACAAAATATTAAATTTATTAAAGATATTCAAAAATATTTCATTTGGGTATATATGAAACATGATCGTCAAAATGGAAAGAAAATATATAAGGTATAAATAGGCCTTGTTTGGCAATAGGCTGTTGGTTGTTTTGATTGGCTGGTTTGACTGGCTGTTTGTATTGATTTTTTTGTTGGTTGTATGACTTTTTATTAGTCTAAAAACATATTTGGTAAAATTGGTTGTTGGATGTTGTTAGTAACTTAGGTAACCAAAAGCCAAAAGCTTAAATACAAAAGCCAAAAGCTAAAAGCTACTCTAAGTAGTTTTTTTCATTTTAGCTTAAAAGCCAGTTTTTCAGCTGGCTAAAAAAGTTATTTACTAAACACAAATTTTGAATGTTTGATCTAATGAAAAAGCCAAAAGCCAATAAAAAAGCCAATAAAAAGCCATTTACCAAACAAACTAACAGTGTACTTAAATATTTTGGAAAAAAAATAATGAAAATTTTTCCACAAATTAATGACAATGACAAGTGGGATTTGCTTTTAGTACTCCATATATATATATATATATATATATATATATATATATATATATATATATATATATATATATATATATATATATATATATATATATAGTATTAAATATTAATAGATTTTTCCAATCCTTTAATAGCCTGAGTCATCCTCAACCCCCCTTATTTATTTATTTATTTATTTATTATCAAAATATTCGTAATTTTTTGAATTTCAATTTAGTAAAATCGTAGTACAATCTTGTACTCTTGAGTCTTGACTTAATTGTTACTATTTTTTTTATACTACAGTAGGAAGTTTTACATTGATCTAGAGTAGTCAGGTGGGTGTTCATGGGCACATTTGAACAATTGAATTTTTCCCCAAATTGTAAAAATATTCAAGCTCTTTAATATCTATCTTTCTTGTTGCTGTGCCAGAGATTAGATTCTTGTAATATGCATATAAAACAAAGGGTTTATTGGAAACATTCTCTTTACCAATTTGTTGGATAGGCCATAAGATTGCGTACATCTGAACCTCATCAAATCCGGGCATCGATCCCGGTATGTATTAGTATTGTTTGTTTGCTTAATCCATTTAGATGTTAATAAACTTACTGTTTTGACGTTATTTCTGCTCAATAATCTTGCAATAAAATGGGCATGGTAAATTGGTAATGGTCTAATGGGTATAGTACACTCACTACATTGTGAATACCAATACCAATTGTTTGATGAATTGTTTTTAGGGCAAAGCCCATCATCGAATTGCTGAATTACTTTCTTCATTTTGACTATTGTAATGCTTATTCTTTGGTCGTAAATTAATATAGTCTTTGCACTTATCTTTGCTTTTCTAGTTGATTTGGTTTATTGGTTGAATATGGGTAATCATTACAGGACCATTTTAGTGATGTACTGGTTATATTTTTATATTAGTAGCTACACTTATTGTATTGGTAGCGTAGGGTACTTTAAGAAAGAGGTGGAAATGGGTCGTTCGTATGTGTGTCGGTTTGGCTTAATTTTGTTTAAGTCAGTCTGTTCTGTTCAAGTCGATTCAAATTGGGTCATATTTGGGTCAATTGATTTTCAATAGTCCTAAACAAGTCCATCAATATTGATCATATTGATCTTCTGGATTGGGTTGATTCAGATTGTATTAATTTCAGTTCGGTTCAATGTCATCTTATCTGATTTTTGGGGCTGGTCGGGTCTAGGTCATGTAGGATTAATTTGGGAAATCAAGTACTAGTCCAGGTCTGTGAGGTTAAGTTTTGGCTATTATTTGTTGGAGAATGTTAAAACTTACATTATGCATTCACTTGAACACTTGGGTGACAAGCCAACATGTAAAATCCTTTTTCCTGAAACCTGTGATAAAGTTATATGCTAACTATCTGCTATTTAGAAACAGATCATAAAATGATGGTAGTTTGTTGCAATGTTTCACCATGCCATGATCCTGGAGTAGTTGGTTTTTCTGCTGTTCTATAGTGGTGAAGGGTGGGAGTTGATGCAGCGTACACTCAGACTACTGAAACTCTCAATTAACAAGTGTGCATGCACATAGCCGCCGGGCTTGAGGCAATGTGAAATATAGATTTAACAAGTTTTTTAGGTTCTGAGGAAAGTGATCAAACACTAGCTGAAACTAATGTAACACATCTCCACAAGCCATTTGTTTAAGGACCTATAATTAAAGATTTGTTTTAAAGAATGCAAGATTTTGATGATTGACTTTTAATACTAAATTAATTCTACTAATTTAGTGAACCAAGTTGATTAGTGGGCTCTCTTGGTCACACTTTGTGTGGTGTACTGTTTTGTTTTATTTTTTTCCCAACACATAGCTTTAAATTCCCAGTGTAAAGGAGAAATAATACTATGAAATTCTTTTCTATTGCAGTTTGTGCTTCGCCTTACGGCCTGTATTGCAACAAGGGTGCTCTTCAATCAGCCATCGGTCTTTCATCTTGAATCAGGATAACTAATTGCTGAGTTGGGCCCTCCATATTGGGGTTTGGTGTTATATTGTATGTTTAAATTCAAGTTCCCACTTTGATCATTTTCTTTTCATAAAAAAGCTTCCTTTTCTCTTGTTGTCACTCTCATAAAATAAAGAGAAAAGATAAAAAGAGGAAAAAAACAGAAAAATAAAAGCTAAGAATTAATTTTCCTTTATGGTTATGCAATGCAGATGCTTGCTTTGTTATAAAGCAGTTATATTGATTACATTCCTCATATCTTACAAGGGTTCTTGGATGAAAGGTGGAAAAAAGAAAAGATAGAATCTACCTACTACTTTTTTCATAAAAGAAACAAAAGGGGCCAAATTGTTCCTCATGAAGGGTCTCCTAGTGCACTTGGTGAGACGATGCTTTTTGTACAGATGCTCTATTGCTTCACCTTAGATGTCTATTAATTACTGTATGGTCATAATTGAAATGTTTTATTTATTTTTGTGGAATTCAATGTGTCTTTGGTCTTATATGTCGATTTACAAGAATCGAATCTGCATGGGTCTATCTCACCTAGGAACTGCACTATATCATTCATAGTTGGGCGTGGGGCTGGGGCCCTAGCTGTACATCGAATGGCTGTGCAGATTACTTGAAGCATATCATCCCTAAACAAACCTGAAACACGTTTGTCCAAGACTTCCATAGCTCCTTCCTTGGTTTCTGCCTTTGTGGTAACCCAATTTATGATATTCTTGTTTTCACCAAACTCTGCCTCCACTGGCTTCTTCCCTGTGACGAGTTCCATCAACACTACTCCAAAGCTGTAGACATCACACTTTGTTGTTGCCTTGGATGTATTTGCATAATCTGAAAGACAATCAGAGTTAAAAAAAAAAATTAAAATAACGCATTTCTTCCATAAAATTTTGACCCAACCAGTTCTAAATCTGGTAAAATACAGTATTATAGCTTAACTTTGGAAATCTTAATGTTGATGCAAGTTGATTACTATTGTATGCAGCATAAATTTTGGATGGATCTTAACAACATCACATATATTATATAGCAGAATATGCATGTGTGAGTACTTTAGATGAGAAAACTAGAGACTTTCGTTTTTTCCATCATATAGAGACTATTAGCATCTGAAACTTACCAGGGTCCATGTACCCATAAGTGCCTGCAATAACTGTGTTGCTTGAATCTTTTCCACCCTTGGCTTGCAGGACCTTAGCCACACCAAAGTCTGCAACCTTAGGCTGGAAATCAACACCAAGGAGAATATTGGATGACTTGATGTCCCTGTGTACAATAGATGGCAGCAGATCATGATGCAGGTAAGCTAAACCTTGAGCAACCCCTAAGGCAATTTGGTGGCGAGTTGGCCAATCCAATTGAATTTTCCCTTTGTGTAGGGCATCCCAGAGGTTTCCATTAGGCATATACTCATAAACCAGCAAGCTACAATCGAAACTTGACAAATAGCAGTACAGCTTCACGATGTTCTTGTGCCTTATATTTCCCAGAGTCTGAACTTCTGTCTCAAGCTCTTTATCTGGAAAGAGCTGGTCGTCAGGCACCTTGTCCTTTGTTTTCCGACTCCATAGCTTCTTTACTGCCACAATTTCTCCACTGCTTAGCCCAATTCTATACACTGTTCCTGATCCTCCATGACCAACTATGTTCTCGTCAACCATGGCATCTAAGATTTCACGCTGATTAAAGCTTATTCGATGGAAGCTTTTGACATCATATGAGCAGAAAGATGATGACATGGTCTCATCATGTCCTATCAATGATTTTCCTTTTCTTAACCATCGTTTAAAGAACAAGATAGCACCAACGAAGAAAAGAATTACCGAGGCCACTATTACCCACATTAGATTCACTCTCTTCTGGGTGCAAGCCTGTTGACAAAGTTGGAAGCTTCTATCTGATGTGTCTGTGTATGTTGTTACACAGAGCCCTGGATTTCCTAAGAAGCTGTCTTCTAGACCCTCTTTGATAAGGGAGAGAGGAATGGGACCATAAAGATGATTATTTGAGAAGTTGACAGAATTGGGGATTATCTCAGATAGGCTCCGAGGAAGCTTCCCTGTCAATTGGTTGTTTGACAGGTCAAGGAGATTAAGTGATTTTAGCTCAGATAGTGAATCTGGAATGGAAGAATTAAGCTTGTTGCTTCGTAGCAGTAAGAGATTTAGCTTCTTAAGGTTACCAATTTCAGTAGGTATAGGGCCAGACAAAAGGTTGTTGCTTAAATCTATTTTTACTAAACTTACAGCTCCAGAGATTTCAGGAGGCAGAGCCCCTGATATTTGGTTGCTCTGAGCAAAGAATTCTGATAGGTTTTTGGCATTCCCAATCGAGGGGCTTATAGGACCAGTCAATTGATTAAAAGCTAAATCAATAACTGCCACATGGGGAAGACCAAAAAGTCTTTGTGGTACTGACCCCTTTAACTGGTTATTGCTAACACGAAAACGTACTAGTGATGTGCACTTTTCATAAGTTTCAGGTATTTCTCCAGTAAACTTATTAGATAGTACAAGAAAGTACACGAGTTTACCTCCTCTGCAGATTTCTGGTGGCAATTTACCACTCAGTTGATTCTCTGACAAGTCTAACAGAGTCATAGCAGACGACTTCCCAAGGTTTTTGGGAACATCCCCTATCAGAAAGTTGTCGTAGATAGATAGGAAGCTCAAAGTCTTCGAGTCCCCCAAGGAAGTTGGAATCTCTCCCGTGAGGCTGTTGTTGTAAATCTGTAAACCCCGGAGTTTGGGAAGGCGGCATATTGAATCTGGTATTCTTCCTGTCAATTTGTTAACTGACATATCCAGATCTGTCAGCTTTGTTAGATTACCCAACTCTTCTGGAATGGTACCTGTGAGCTCGTTGTAGTAAAGCATGAGCGACTTCAAATTCTTCAGCTTCCCTAGCTCGGGTGGAATCTGTCCATGAAGGTAGTTGCCACTAAGTTCAAGGTCAACAAGAGAAGACATGTTTCCTAAGGACGGTAAGATTAGACCCTGAAGCTTGGATGTTGACAAGACCAGTGACCTAAGCCTGGTCAGTCGTGTGATGTTCTCTGGAAGTTCCCAGCGGTTAAGGTTGTTGTTTTCGTTGAAGTTTATCATCTCAAGATTGGTGAGGTTCATGATGGACATAGGGAAATCTCCATCGAATAAATTGTATGATAAGTCCAGGGCACGAAGGTATCTCATGCGAGAGAAATTTGGCAGTTTGCCGCTGAGATATAAGGAACTCATATTGAGCACTTCCAAGAGAGAGCAGTTGATGATGCCGTCTGGAAAAGGGCCTTGAATAAAGTTGTTACTGATATCCAGCACACGCAACTCAGGCAGGTAGGAGCAAACATTCGATGGAAATGAACCTTTGAGTGACCAGCCAGAAATATTGATCTTTGTGACTTGGCCTTGCATATTACAGGTGATTCCAGTGTAATTACAATATGACTTCCCTTCTTGGACATTCCAGTAAGACAAAGCGCCACCTGAGAGAGAGTTTTTCATGAGGTTAAAATATTGAGGCTGCTGATTACTTGTGGAATGGACACAGTTAAGGAGCGAAAGAAATAACATGAAAGAAGATAAACGGAAAGATTGAAAAGCCATGACTCGGCCTTGGTGGATGAAACTAGGGAGGAGAAAGGAGAGGTGTTTGTCTAATATGGTTGTTGCGATTGAAGGAGCAGAGAAGAGAATATGTATATAGCTAGCATGATTGAGGAGATAATTGGGTGCAGCAGTAATGAGACTTGATGGAAAAAGAAGGTTCTTCCGGTACTAATCACTGCTGAAGAAAGAAAGAGGATACATATTTAGCATAAAGAAGCTTTATGCTGTACCCACTAACATATGTAGAGAATAAGATTATGTACGCCTATATAATGTATGAATAAACAGCACCGTACTTTTAATAAACTGTTTCATGTTTCGATCAATCAGGACCACTTGATCGCTATATATTCTCTATTAAAAGCTGATCTTCCTTCAGATAATTGATATTTACTGTAAATATCATCCTAGAACCATTATTTTCTATTTACAGGTTTACTTGTTTTCTATATGTAAAGATCCTGCTTGAAATGATTAAATTATTGTGCAGTAAGCTCGAATAAATTCTTAAAATCAATAATTGGCAATTCTTTGGTTAATTATTTTTTTCCTAGTTGCTTGATATCTCTTTTTTTCGGCATTTCCTTTAATCCTTAGCTGTTTCTCTGTTACTTTCTTTCTTCGTCTGTGCTTGGTTGTGATCTCTATGCAATTATCTTATAGGTTATTTGCTATCTTAATATTTTACAAAACAATTTGTAAATTATGGGCTTGTATGTTATAGACGTACAATAATACATAACATATGATATGCTATATTCCTAAAGTAATTGTTTTAAAAGTGCTTTTCTGCAACTAGCATATTGTTTGCGCTATCAGCATTCAGCACTACACTTGAATAAGCCTTGTAGTTGATTGTTTTTTTTTTTTTTCCTTCTTAGGCCCCACCAACCAATTTGATTTGATTTGATTTAGCAGGAGATTATATTAATAAGAAACTGCAGTATCATTATATATATGCTAATCCTTAATGGTTTTCCAACCGTCTACATATGAAACATGTGTCAGGTTTTTCATCTTTTTATATTCTCATAGTATAAAGCTTTAGAAGTTGTTCATTATTATGTGAATTCTTTAATGAGAATCTGTAGCAAAAGCTTTCTGTCTCCGGGAATCATCGCGAGCCATAACCATGTAACTTAGAGTTTACACTGCATTATTCAAGTTTGTAACTGATACGGTAGTTTGTGTTCAGGTTTCTGTTTTGAGAGAAATTATACTGGTAAATATCCGGGTTCACTGGTTTAGTGCTGAATTAAATCAGTTTGCATTAAGGAAAAGCTGTACATCAAATCAAATGAAGTTTTTTTTTTGAGCCTGTGTAATTTAATCATCGACTAATGATATGACTGTGTGGTTGATAAAATATATTACTGAAGAGAGCGTATGTGGATGTTTATTAATGGTAGTATCGTACGAATTTGTGAGATTCTGATCAATTTGGCAGTGGAACATTCTCTTTATTTATTTAAAGGAAAGCGTAGAAAGTTTAACTTTCTGAGTTGTTTGAAATGATTTGACTTTGATCTTAAGAATGATGTTTTGCTAATGGAAATCATTTACATTACCTTTCTTCTAGTTTGTTTCTTCTGTTATGATTTTTTTGGTTTTAATTTTCTTTTTCGTCATTTTAGAGGACATTGTGGAATTAAGGGAGCACGTTCAAATTACTGGCATTAAGAGTTTGGCAGTGGAGGTTACTACTACAACAAACTTCTACCCGTATGACTTTATTTTCCCAAGCTTCACACCAAAAAGAGGCAAGCAGGTTTTTCCTTGTTACTTTATACTTTATTGTCCACACTACCTGGAATTTATAATTTATTTTTAGTTTTGAATTGGATCATTAATCCATGTATAAATTCATGCAGTCAAGATGTAATAAAAATACATGAATGCAACATTGAGTTATGTCTATGCTCTACATCCATTCTCATAAACACAACCTCATCCGATCAAAGATTTCTAAACACTGTCGTCATGAAAATCTATCATATAACTGGAACAAGATCTCCCCCCTTTTTCCCGAGTAATGCTTCCACCAAGGTAGCTTTATTAAGTTCTTAATATGCATTGGGATTTTACTCATTATTTCTTTATTTACGGAGCAAGTATTCAACAATGAATAGAAACGGGTATTGATGGGGAAAGCCCATAAAAGTTTGTGAGCCCAAAAACTAGAATCTCATGCCTTATTTAGATGCCCTCAATTGATATAGTAGAATGTGAATTAAAGAGAGATGCCCACTTATACCCAGTGATGGTTGTGTATTTTGACAGCTAGAAACTTAGATGATCTGACATGGCTGTTTTATTCTCTTGTAAATGTTGTTTAATAATGATGAAATTAGCAACAAGCTCTAATGGAGATAAGGTGTAGATAAAACATAAGTAGTCATTTTTTATGATTTTCACTGTGTAAATCAGAAGCAAGATTAAATGAGAGAAAATATGTGTAAAAACTATCTGACAAAATATTAGTCTGAGTGTTATTAGGTTGGAATTAAAATGGACTGACTTTATAGCCTATTCAAATTATTCTGTAATTATAAGCTGTAAGGTAGTAATACATAGTTTCATGTAATATTACTTTTGGAAGTTGATTATTTTTCAACTTTCACAAAATTGGCTTATACTTACTATTTAGTGGTTTCTTGACTGGTTAATATTAGTCCTATCACACAATCAATATGTATGATGATTTTAGCAATAAGATTGCATATACCTAAGACTTTTGAGCTAACAAGTGTCTTTGGTTATAATACATCTTATATGATGGTGCTTTATTTATTTAATTTTTTTTACTAAAGCTTAAATGTTTTGAATTTACTATAACTTGGGCCATGTTAGTTGTTTCAGCTTAACATTTCTGATTAAGTAATGTGAAACAAAACGAGCCTCCAAGTATATGTGTCACACTTGGTGTATATTTGTCATATCAGTACCCTCCCTTTCTGCAATCTTATTGGACAATTCAGCACCTCAGAAAGCAGGACTATTTTTAATAGGTCTTTTTGATAGCTAATTGTAAACTTTTCATTGAGGATAGAGGTCGGGCAAAGTAGAGGTTATGTGTTGGTATGTGAAAGACTACACCCATCACTTATCCCTAGCTTTGCTTATATATTATAATGTAGTAAATAGGGATTCATATTGAATTGTCATGTCATAGTCATATTATATAGAAAAACTCCTTTAATGAACATCTTTTTCCTGTTAAATTTCTCATAATTTTTAGAATAATTGATGTTGGAGCTTTCGTTTTCATTAGTATGATTCTACCTTATAACCTTTTTTTTTAATTGCATATTAATTAAATCTTCTATTCAATGGACTGAGTTATGATACACTCTTAGTGGAAGGGGCATAATGTGCATGTTAGTAGTTAAAGATGAATTCTTGTGATTGTATAAATGTAAAATTTTTGAAAAAGGAAATTCCTTATACAAGATGCTTTTTAGGGGATTTTTACAGTGATGTATATATATATTAATGACATTTCTATGCTAGTATGTGCTACGTAAGATTTCTTGCCACTATAGAAACAGTAATCCTTCATTTGTTCAATAAGAAATTCATTTTCTGAAAGTTTCTTCAAGAAAGCGCTACTATGGTGCATAGAAGTAAGGCAGAAAATTGATTGGACAACGTCTTAGGTTATAGCATCTTGTGCACTGGATAAACTCAAAGAAGGCTGTTATTTATTTGAAAATGATGTGTCTTTTGGTAAAAACCTTAAATGAATTAATGCAGCTGTTTATGGGAATTTATTCTTGATGTCGAAATGTGTTGGTTTTATTGGATACGCATGTTTATTCTGTGAGTCCTTGCTTTGGCAGATTGCAAAACTAACAAGTGCACGATTTGGTTCTTTTCTTTTTTCTTTTGTTTCTGTCGCAGAACTTTATCCAATTGGTATCCATGGTGTACAAGGTCAAAACATGCCCACTTATTTCCTCTAGAAGTTAAGTATTATCCTTTACTTTCATTCTCTTTTATTTTATTCTTTCCCTTTCATTTTTTTTTTTGTTTTTTTTTCAACATGATAATCTTGCTTGCATATGTGATTTGGCTGTGTGCAGTAGGAAAACGGACTAACAGGGTGCACTAAGGATGTGGAGTTACAAATGAAAGCGGAAGCAGCCAAATCATACCTTCAGCAGTAGGAGAATGGAATTTCTTTCATCCTTATTCAAGGTTAATCTGCTCATTTCTTAAGTGATGATATGGTGATAAGTAGTTTTTAGGAATTTCTACTACCCTGGTATTTATATCTTCTCCTATGTGCAACAACCTACATGGTTTTGGATTTTGAGCTACATACTTAATGGACTTAAGCAGAGACAACCTAAGATGGTTAGCTATAATCATATTTATCAAATTTCGTAATTTAAAGCACATAAAAATTTGTTGTTATGCTGATAAATGTTTCTATGCACTTACAGCCTTACAGGGACCAGCATGTGAAAAATATTAAGACTCTTCCTAGTTTTGTTTTAGTGTGTTTCTTAGACAAGTAAAGGACTGTTCTTGTGAATTGAGGTTTGTAGTCTTTCTAATGTCATGAGCCACATCAATAAAATAAGATTAAATTAGAGGACAAATGAAGTTATGTTTGGAGAACAGATGCAAAAGCTTGAGACTTTGCTGCTTGCTGGCATCATGAGTGAAGATTAAGGAAACAGTTTGACCATTTTCTGACCTTAGAATTTTGATTTAAAAAAATTCCCTTTTTGTTCCTAGTGATGCTTAGTCTTTGCCAAGTTCTTCTGCCCAGACTGCATGACAGTCCACAGTTATTATATTTGCATGATGATCTCCAAAGCATTAAGAGTTTATAGCCAATAATGTTTCAAGAGAGTGAGAACTTCATGGATGGTATGGATGCTAAGTGACAAGCAAGTGTCTATATATATATAACTCTTCCAAGAGTGCCAGCATATCAGTAAATTGCATGTATCAAAACTTAGTGCAATATTCATCATTTTATGGTCAATAAATACATTTATAGTGTGCTTGGTTGACAACTAGAGTATATAGGGGAGAAAGTGATATAGGCACACCAAAAACTGATTCTGGCACACCCATTGTGAGAGCACAGTTTTCGAAGCTCTTCTCACATGGAAGTGTGCCAAAATAAATTTTGTATGCCTAAATCATTTCCCTAGCTGCCTAAAGTATCGAAAACTCGTTGAATTGCAGGCTACTGCAGAACAGAATTTCTGAACATTATATCATTATAGGCAATCAAAGATGAATTCCTTATTAAAGTGGGCATTGCACTCCCTTATTAGATTAAATTTGTAGACACTAAAGTTTCTTCTATATGGATGCCATAAAATGTAGATAATTTACTGGCAGAATTCCTAGCAAAAGAGTCACCATTTCTTATTTGGTTAGAATGTGGCACATAGTTTGCAGTTCTTGGGTTTGAATCATGTTTACTATGTTAGATGTTGAGCTATCTGATTGTGCTGTCCGATACACCTAGAGCTTAGAGATTCTTGTTATTTTGATTGAATGATATGCTTCTTTAATTCCTAAAAGTTTGATTTGCTTCAAGTTCTCATTTTACCCCCTTATCTTTCAAATAAATTAACGGTTGCATTATATTACATGTACTTATGCTAACTTTCTGGACACTTAAATGTCATAACATCGAATTTCCAGGACTGTCTCACGTGTGGGGTGTAAGGGACTTCGGAGTATTCTGTGGTTGAGAAACTACAATGCAAACTGATGCAGAAGAGCATTTTGTATATTTTTCTCGGTAAGTAATTAAAAGCTTTTCTGCTCAAAAAGACAAAATATATATCAATATGATGAAATCAGGAGGTATACACTGGGTAGAGCACTTTCAAAACCTTCCTCTCACACACTTAGACCCTGAAAGCATTACAACAGATCACTAACACTCAAAGTCTCTAACAATTCTTTTACTTTCCTTGAAGTGTTGCCAGCCCTGATGCTATTTCTTAAACAATACACTATTTGAACTCTAGAATTATTTGATATCTTTGAACGGGTAGTTAGTTGAATGCACACTTAATTCTTACAGAATTTGGTTGTAGGGTTTCCAGATAGAGTATTTAGTAGCAGCAATTGAACAAAAGAGGTATGTTTGTCAAATCTTAAACTACTATAATTCTTGCAATCAACTTCATATAACTTTATATCAGTATCATTGCAATTAACCTAGAACAAACCCATAACTCCAGTTGTAATGATATTTGATGAATAGGTGGGAGATGATTTTAGGGCAATTGCCACAGAAACTAAAGCCATCATCACATACCTTTAATAGGGACAATTTATTAGGTCTTGCTTTCACAAGCCTAGCCAACCAGCAAGTGAAGCTATGATTAGAGAAATGTTTTGCACTTGGGGTGTGAGCAACAATGTTCCACTCTTAAATCTTAACATCATACATTCCTTTAGGGTTGTCAGACACGTTCAATCAAACTAATAGAAAATTTATCCCGTAAATCCTAATGTGAAGGCTACAATGCTTGTCCTTGATTGTCTTTGACAGCTAATGTATATAGTACAAAGAGTATACTCCGTAGTAATTATGGCGATGCTCTAACATTAGGAAACAATCCTAATTATGGAAAACTCTAGCATTAGGTAACCATATTATTCCTAAATTTAATCTACCTAATAATAAGGATCTTACAAAGATATCTCAACACCCCCTTTAAGTTGGAAAATGAGAGTGAAAAATGCCCAAAAGTGACAGAAGATGAGCACAATGAATGAGAGTATTTGAAGGAGAATATATATTTTTATTATTTAAGGGGGACATGAAAAAGAGAGAAATGATAAAATAATATAATGGGGTTTAAACTAAGAAAGAGTAATGATAAAATATAGTATAAAGTTATCATACATAGAAGTGATGTATTTAAAAGAAGTGATGCAACTATAAAAAAAAAAACCGGAGGGAATAGTTTATTTCCTATAGCCTTTTGAAGAAATCTTCTTGTTGAGTTGTTGTAGAAATATACTACTCCATCCGTCTCATATTATAGTTTCGTTTTCGTATTTTAGAGACCCAAAATGTTGTTCCTTTTTCTATTTTTGGATAATAAGAAAAGACTATTATACCCTTAATTTTTTAACTTTATTCATTATACTTCCAAAATTACCCTTGAATTTTCAATATGCTTTGTACTTTTTTCTACTTTATCTTTCTAAATTTTGTCTATAATTGTACTTTTTACCTTTTTATGTACTTTATACATTTTCTCCTCTCTAACTTTTGTCTATAATTGTACTTCTCACTTTTTTTTTTTTTAATTTTTATGTACTTCAATCACTTTATACTCCGATTCCTTAAATACCATGAAAAAACATAAACAGGAACTATATATTGGGACAGAGGGAGTACATTCAATCCATCTATCTGCTATTGCATCACAAACAACATGGAAATATGCTTTGTTCATTAATAAAAGACCAAATTTTGGCTATATATAGAGCCTATTGATTGTCACAAAACAATTCAACTGCCTCTTGATAATGAACTCCTTACCTCAATAACAAACTCTTTAACAATTAATCACTTCGTCACAATGTGATGGTACCATTCAACATCAAGAACGGGATATCTTGTGAAGTGTCTTTATTTACCAAAAAAAATGGAGATTAACCTAAAAACACAAGCCAACCTATTAAAGTGCACCTAGTAATCAACCTAATATCAAGCATGCTACCGAATTTAGGTGACAACAACTTACCCTTAAGGCTAGGCATTCAATAATATACCTGAGTGCCTTTAAGTGTCGAACAACTCTTTAAGCTGCCTCCCAATGTTTAACATGTGGCTCCTGTTAGGAAATATTATACTACCTCCATTTCATATTTTTTAGAATTCTGGAATATTTTACATCTCACACCCCAAAGTTGCAAAAGAATATGAAACAGAGGTAGTACAACCATCCTTATGAGTCAGTGAGAATAATATTAATAATCGAATGTTTATCCCTACCTTAGAAAAAGTATAAGATAATTCTTAAGAATGGTGTGCTACCAATTGTACCTTATATATATATATATATATATTTACCCTCATTAATATGTTTAATGTTTTTTAAAAATTGAATTAACTAAAAACGATGAATTATTGATCAATAAAACAAGTTTTATAATAATGTTTTCTTGCTGTGTCTAATGTGGTTCTGGTTTATTTGCAGAAATAAAAAGCTACTAGGCAACCGTAGTGTCATGGCATTTAGCCATTTAATCTGTTTGGCTTTTCAAATCTTTAATACATCACTAGGTAAGCCTTATTTATTTTTCTTAATTTGGTGAAACATTACATTAATGTCCTTTTAATAAGCCTCAACTTGTTTTATGGATGATTAATGAAATTAGACGTTTGTGTTATAAGCCTTTGTTTTATAACTACTGTCAAATGAAAGTATTATATTAGCTACTACGCAACCATAGGGTAATTTTGTGTTCTTTTCTTAATTTTCGGATTGACCCATTATTATAAGCCTTTGTTTTATTTTCTTAAGTTAGATAGCAATTTAGGTTAATTTGCTAGTTGTTACTACTCTTTTTCTAGGTTAAAGCAACGTAACTGGGTATGATTTTCTTTCCTTTATCTTTACATGATGTATTTTCCTTCCGCATTGAGCTTAATGGTTATCATAGTTTTGATTACAACTACTTATATAGCTGGACAAATTTATAGAATTTGGACTAATTGGACTCATCGTATAACTCAACAAAGTCAACATGTTGGAGTCTCTAAATTTGGCCCTAGGTATCTTTTAAATTTCATTTAAGACTCTGTTATGTTACTTGGACTTTTCATTTCACCTCACGTACCCATGTCGGACCCTCGACACTAGGACATGGGTATGACACCCAGACACTTCACTTTTAGTTCAAAATCATGGAATTTTTTCACAAAATAGCCGAGTCGGACGCTTGGACATGTACCCGTGTCGGACATGGGTGCCCGATTCCAAGTAACATAGGTGTTTTGGGTGATTTTGTCCCTCGGGAGAGTTACGTCACGAAGTCTGATTCGGCTGAGTTGTACCTGCAAAACAATGGAGACTTCAGGTGGTTGGAGCTCCGCCTCCGACGATCAAGTTAGTAACTTGAAAGAGAGTAAAGAATGCGGAAATTTAGGTGGGGATCTGCTTGGATTCCAAGCTCAGGTGTTTCTCTGATGTGAGAGAGTGTAGGTGTAATAAATGATTGAATGTGTCTCCAAAATAGGGAAATATCTCCCTATTTATAGGGTCGTTGGAGAATGTACCCCCATCTAGGTCACTTGACCTAGATTTTAGTGGGCTGCGCCGTTTTACGACGCTTCTTGGGATTTGGGCCCTTGAAGGCCGCCATTTCAGAGATGTATCCAAGGAGGTCATGTGTCAAGAGGATATTAAGCCACGTGGGCCATCCTGAACTCGACACGTGGCCTCCTCTCATTGGTCCACACGTTTAGGGTATTTTTACCCTAATCATTTGCCCCTCACAGGGCTCACGTGCATATCGCGTGAGGCCTGTGACACGTGTCCACCTTTCAAAGGTGAACGATAACGGGTTGTAAAATTTGAATTTCAAATCAAAATTTCCCTCCTGCTTTCACCTTCTATAAATAGAAGTTTACCCCCCCTTCTCTCACCTTACGTTCATTTGACTTTTTAGAGAGAGAAAGAGAGAGCTTTTTAGAGAGAGATTCTTTGCCTCCGCCTGCATCACAACAAGTTCAAGTTTTCGTGTGCTAGCAGTTCAACACCCGGTTTTACCGGCCGTAGCGGTTTTCAGATTTTTCAGAGTAAAAAGTAAGGTAACCGCCTGTACCATTTTAGCTTTTCTCTTTTTCAACTTGTATACAATTCTTTCTCCGCCTGTATACGTAGTTTTAGAAAAAAATAAAAATAAAAATGGGTTCTCCATCCACTCACTCGGCACTGCCTAGGACACTCAGCCGATCCCCCGCAACGACTGAGTCTGGAATAGGGGGTGCATTTTCTGGACTGTCAGAACCGATGTGCTCATCTCCGAATTCCTCCCTCTCTGTGTCTGTGCTGGACACAATGGCCAGAGTCAAACAGATGGCCAGAAAATCTAGGAGCCGGCGCACTATAGAAGTGCCAGCCGATGAGGTTGTCCCAGACGGGGAACAGAGGGATTTGGAGGAGAGTGGTTCTGATGAAGAGGCTCCCTCTACTTCCGGGAGCTCAGGGGCACGAGAGGTAGATGGCGAGGGAGCCGCCTCCTCTGATGAAGCCGGCGATGCTGAGGCCAACGAAGGGTCAAGGGCCGAATAACCAAGATAATTTTACGGCTGACTACCAGCAGCCGCCTAAAGTTGCTGACCACCCTAACCCAAAAAGGACTAGAATGCTGCCGGGTGACATTGCCCTACTGAGAAGCGGCTTCAGGGCCTTTAAAGAGAAGCACCCCTTAGGGAAGGGGTGGGATATCATCGTTCCGCCTGCTGACGCAGTAATGGCGTGGGACGATGACATTGATAATGTAGACCATTATATTTTGTCTGCTACGAGACGGTAATAGAAGCCGGCCTCCGGTTCCCCCTCCACCCCGGGATTAGGAAAATCCTAAAGGGTACGATGTAGGAGTTTGGCAGCTCACCCACAATTCGTGGGTGAACATTCTAAGTTACATCGCCGCCTACGAGCTCTTAAATATAAATCCAAGCTTCTCCGCCTTCGCTCACATGCATTATTTGAGCAAGGCCCCAGGCGGCCATGGGGCATGGTATACTTTGAGTACCTTGCCCCAATACTTGATGACTTTGGACAAAGTGTCCAAATGGTACGGGTGGAAGGACAAATTCTATTTGATTTCTTCCCCCACTCTGAGGCACAACCAGACTCTCCGCCGGTATAACACCGAGCCGACTCTTCTGGGAAGGAAATAACCTCTCCCGGAGCTATCGACTAGGGCCCGGGAGCAAATAATAAAGCCGGGCTTCTTTGAGACAACAACTGAGCCCATTGGGGATGGGACTCACGTTATAGTTCCCAAAAACTGGATCCCCCATCCGGACTATTTCAAGGATGATTGCTTCTTGTCCACCTGCGGGTTGAGCACCATGTTTCCCAAGGGTAGATTACCTCACATCCAGAGTATTTGTTATTTTTACTTTTATTGCAAACTTGCCGCAATTTCTTATAACCTTGGATTCTGTTTATGCAGCTGACGCCTTGAAGATGGTCGACCCGACAAAGACACCGGCTAAGTCGGCGGCGCTGCTGCGCAAAGAGGCTGCCATAGCCAAGAAAGCATCCGTCGATGCAAAAGAAGCTAAGAAAGGCGGGGTAAGACCGCCTGACTTTATATGCGTATATATACATTTTTTTTTAACTAAGGCAATTTGCCGGTTGGGTATACTGACCCTTGTTCATTTCTCAGGACTCTGCAAAGTGAGTGCCACGATCCTTCTCCAAGCTTCTCAAAAGGCAAGGAGAAGATCTAGAGAAAGCTCCGGCTGCGAAGGCCGCCAGGAAGGATCCCCCTCCCCGAACAAACTCTTCTGCCAAATTCGATCGTCCAACGACCGGAGGCAAATCTCCTTCTGTTATGAAAATTCTGAGCGAAAGCTCGGAACGCTCTCAACAGAAAGCACCGGATGCCTCTAAGGCATCAAAGGGTGGCGAGCCACCTAATGTTGTAGACGGTGCGGCAACAACCGGGGGGGAGCAGACGCCTAAGCCCCATCCGGATACACAAGGTAAGGGAAGGATTGGAATACCTTGGCCACTTGACTTCATGAGAGTCAAGACTAAGGTTGACCCCTCTGGGGTTCAGTCAGCAGCCGGCAACGGATGAATGCTAACTATGCTGCCTCTTTCTCAATGAGTACTACTTTTGATGCAGATCTGACATTCGACGAGCCGGATCTTGTGGGCTTCGCAAAGCGGATGGTGAGGACCCTCACCCGGTCAGAGAAGAACTCCATACCTGATCTACAGGTGGTGGACTTGACCGGATAATGGGCCAACTGGTTGAGGTAAGGAATCCCACAACCTTGATATCTTTTACCTTTAATTCTACCAAGTAACTCATAATCAGGCTGCTCTTTTACTCAGGTAATGCCGAGGGTGGACGGGCTCCGTGGCCCCTTCAGGCGGAAGCAGGAAATGGTAAATGACGCCAAACGGAGGGCCCTTGAAAACCTTAACTCTGCTGAATATGCTAATTATATGTGTGATTTAAAGATTAAAGCAGTAGAGTTGAAACAGGAGGAGCTGATCCGGAGCTTGACGGCTGCGAACGATGAAGCCAACAGCCGGGCTGATGACCTTGAGCAAAAACTGAAGGATGCCAAATTTGAGCTCAAGGCATTGGAGGACGCTGATCAAGAAAACACTCAACTCCGAGCAGACGTTTCCCGCCTGGGGATTGAGCTTGTCACTCTGCGAAACAAGCAGTCGGATGAGCTCGCCCAAGAGCAAAAACGGCTGATGCAGGAGAATGAGCGTGACATTCTAGCTCGGCTGAAGATCACTTGGAGCCTCCTTTACCCAGATATAGACTTTGAGGTCTATAAGCTAAGGTATGATTACGCCACTGAGGTGTATGATGCCCAAGTACTGGGTGAGGCTCCTTCGCCTCGTTTCAAAGATTGGGCTGCTGAGCAGGGATATGAAGTCTCTGACAACGAGGAACCGGCGGCGGATGATCAGGATGAAGGCCAAACCAGCCACAATCAGCCGGAGCAACAGCATCCACCTCAGCCTTAGGCGAGCCTCCCACTTTCTGCGGCAGTATGCCATCATGTTTCTTTACCGACTTGTATGCTGTGTATTGTTGTATCTTTACCAACCATGGGGTTGGGTTAACAATTAATTTTTAGTTTCTTCACCAAATGTGATTCCGGTTAACACTTGTTCTAGCCTCGGTGCCATTTGGATATTTATGCAGTATTCCGACTCAGTTGGTGTTTATATATATTAGAATTTTTCAATTTAAATTTTGCGTATGTTTGCAATTCTTTAATATTTTGCCTAACTTAAAAAAAACATGTGGCAATTTTGCAATTCAGGTGCTCTTGCCCCTGGGCGGCTGTGCGGTTGGTTTTGTTTTAAATTGATTGATTGGCTTGAAAACACTTGATACTAGGAGAAGTATGGAGTGTTTTTAGGCCAATCAATCACAATGGTGATTGCCCCACACCAAGTGCACAGCCGGCCATTAGAGCGGGTAATTACCTAGCCATTACACAAAATCTTTTGCCCCAATAGGGAAAGAAAGTGCAACTTTGGAATGAATTACCAAAGTGAGAACTTC